ACAAGAGTGAGGACATGAGTTCAGGTCCCCAGAACCCAGGAGCCCACTGCACCTGGGTTAAACAGTCTGCCTAATCTATGAGCTCCAGGTTCAGTGAGAGACCCTGCCTCAAAGCTGAAGGTGGAGAGTAACTCAGAAAGACACCTGACATTGACCTCTACCCCACACACGCACACATGTGTTCCCACATGGATGCATGCATACACCCATGTGAACATGAACATACATCTCACACATGCACAAATACACAAAGATGAAAATAAAAAGTGACGTTGGTAGTGTTGCATAGGGAAGAAATTCTTGATTCTAGAGAATAAATATCCAGATTTCTGTGGCATCGCTGAAAGGTCCTGGGTTAGGGTTTGTAGGTATGCGTGATGGTGTCGGTGAAAACCTAACTGCTCCCCAAATCCATATCAAAGATTTCCTTCTTCCTTGGCCTAAATGGCATCTGGGATGCATCTTCGGTGGTCAGGAACAGCAGCCTCCTAGATGTGGGAAGGGTCTAGAGAGTGTCACACGACATTCTTCGGGTTCTTCCCTTGGCCCGGTTCCGTTGGAAGGGTCTCGTTTGTTTCAGCTTCCTGTTTTCTCACCACAGCCCCCTTGTCATGCTGCTGTCAGTGCTTAAACAGTGGGTTTTGAGTCCTAGATGAACTGAGGTCAGCTTAGAAGCCAAGCTTTTTACATTTGCCGGGGATGAGTCACTTGCTGTCTCAATGCTGGGAAAATCTGCTTAAATATTTGTTATTCAGAGTCTGTGTGAAGAACTGTTACCTCCTGTTAGATAGTTCAAATAAGCTGCCCTGTTTCTCCCTTGTTCCTAAGTACATACAAAAGAGAAAGAGAAGTATCTCTCTGTGTGTGCATTCACGTACATGCACACAAGCACCAAGATACAAAGAGTTAGGATGGGACAAATCACACAGAGATAGTCTTGGCTTCTCGGGAGAAAATAAATCTAAAAACACAGCCTTCGAGTGTCAGTTCAGGTGATCCTTTTTCCAGTGTACACTGACAGGAACATCATGGCAGTCTGTCACACAGACTCAGATATGGCAGCTTGCTGTTACATTTGGGAAAAGAGAATTGAAACCATTTGAGATCAGCTGCCACCTGAGAAGCTTAGACGTGTGTGCACAGAGAGTTCATTGCCCTTTGAATCCCCTCCAAGGCTTGTGTCCCTTACAAGAAATCCGTGTTAAGTTAAAGAAGAAACTTCTCACGCCAGAAACTATATTAATCGAGATTCCAACAACATGCTACCAATGGAAAGATAACCTTACTAGCCAAAGGTCTCTCTAAAACACATTTTGGTGTTTCTAATGCGTAAAGCCCTTAATCAAGGAGGAAGTGTTATACTCTCTGAGGCTCCATGAACGAAGGATGGGAAGGCATGATACTTAGCCCTACTTGATGAGGTCTGAAGATGCCTTTGCTAGGAAGGGATGCCATTTACCCTTTATCCTCACAAGGCTGGCATGCAGCCCAGCACGCTCCACCAACTTTACCTCTCCTTGGGCCAAATGCCTTAGCTGGGGTTGTTTTCTGCCTCTGTGGAGGCGATCAAGTCTGACATGCTATCCATCCTACTTCAGCTGTGTTTCCGATGACTCGGTGAAGCAGTATTCGTCTCGGGACCACCTAGCTAAGCACTTCCAGGTCCCTGTCTTCAAGTTTGTGGGCAAAGATCACAAGGTAAGCTGAACACCTTTGTCTCACAGCCCCATGCCTGAGCCTTCCTTCTCGTTGTCCTGACGTGTTGACATTCTAAGAGCCTGTGGTTAGCTTCTGCATGACCCCCGGGAAAATGTCTGGCTATCAAGAAACTCAGCGTTCGCACATGTTACAGTTGCCTGATCCACCCCACCCCCACAGGAAATGACTGTGCACACAGAATATTATAGGACCACAATTTGAAATCTTTGTGGGCAGATATGTGTGAAAAGCCAGTGTTATTGTCAGTTCAACAAAGGATTTAGACAGGAATCTCACAGAACACCAGCAATGGACTGGGAAGAGAATAGAACTCACAATGCTAATCATAGGACACAACTTCTTAATAGGAATATTGCACATGGAATGTGTGGGAAAGGACAAATTACAAAGCTTCCAAAGCCACAGGAAATGAACAACAACAGTATAAGTTGAGGGTTTTTTTTTTGTTTTGTTTTTTTAAGTAAGTTATCTGTTAGTATGCCATAATCATCAACTCAGTATATAATTTTTGTCTAAATACAATTTTGGCAATTTCACAAAAACAAAACAATTTGCTGGATATGCTTATAGAACATGATCCTAAGAGGGGGAGGGGCCCCCAAGCAAACATAACCAGGGGGCTACACTGTATCAACTTAGTACAACATTAAGAAATTTTTAAAGTTATGAACATCAGAAAAGCAGCTGTGAAGAAGGTGCCATAACTCTATGTATATACTCGGGTCACGATGGCTGTCCCGAGAGGCTGGGGGTGACAAGACTGAGCTTTTCCTGCTCTTGCCAGTGTTGAAACACAACCCAAATGAAGCTCAGGAGAGCAGCGTTCCATTCCACGTTGCCACTAAGTGTCTTTTCCAGTCATTTTGTTGTTCCAGAACTCCAGCTCAATAGTAGAACCTCCCTAGGCAGGTCCTCCTGGAAAGAACTTACTCCTTTAAACAGGAGTACTTGGTCCTTTCTCCTGCCCAGGAACTGACATGCTAATGTTAGAAGACTTCACTGAGGTCTCCTTGGCGTACAAAGTTCTGGGTCAAGGTTTCGAGGTCACCCACATCACTCCCTTCCAACTTGGCCACATTTCTACACTTGTGAACTGGGCAATTTCCTCATCCTACGTCTCGATTTCCTGTCCATAAGTAGAAGATGGTCACTGCCACCTCGAGCTGTTGCTGTTGTGGCTGAGATGGGGCTTGGGGAGCATGTGGTACTGTGTGTGGCTCTCAGCAGCGCCTGTGGTGACAGCTGGCACCTCAGCTTCGCTGTCATTGCCTTCCTTCCAGGAGGTGTTTCTTCACTGCCGTGTCCTTGTTTGTGGGGTTCTGGACGAACGTTCCCGCTGTGCCCAGGGGTGTCACCGGCGAGTGCGTCGTGAGGTGGCAGGAGACGAGAACTCTGCTGGGCTGCAGAGCCAGACACTGACAGGAGGCCCCATCACCATTGACTGGGAGAACTAGTGCCCGCTGCCGGACACCCTCCTCTCTGGGACACCTTCCCATGTCCTCCGAGAACACCAGAGAACCTCCGAGGACACCGGACTTCTTTAAATCATATACTGTGAGTTTAGACAACCCCTGCCCCAGCATGAAAGGATCGATTAGCTGGTTTTGTCCCTGGGTTGGCACAAATCACACCACTGCTGACACATGTGGCCTTGGTGGGCTTCGGTTTCTGGATTTTAAGAACTGTGTTGTCCTCATGGAAGGACATCTCCTTCATTTCCTCCATTTCTTTCTTACAATGAAATACCTCACTTATGGTATAATGGGGCCACTAAAATGAGGTGCTGGGAATAACATTCCAATTTAAAAACATAAAAAATTAATTACTAAAACTATAACCCATGATCCTCTAAATATATAATTATGTCCTGCAATTCCAAACCCAATACAGAATCTTTATAGGAGATTTGAAAGTTTATCAATAAAATAATGTGTAAGAGAAAATACAATAGGTTGAATATTGCATAGTAATTTTCAATGTTTTCCTATTGCCCTAGGCGAAATGTTTTCACCTAAAAATAAATTCATAAGCTAATTAAGAGCATTGGCTGCTCTTGCAGAGAACCTGGGTTCAATTCCCAGCACCCACCTGGGGGCTTACAACTGTCTGTAACTCTAGTTCCAGGGGATCCGATGGCCTCTTCAGACCTCCTCAGACACCAGACATGCATGTGTTGCATAGACATACATGCAAGTAAAACACTCATACATATAAAATAAAATAATTAAAAAGATTATCAGCATGTATGTAAGTGGTTCAATGGATGAACTGAACAGTAAACAAAACTAAATTCTGGTCCTGTATGCCCTGAGGACGGGTATTTTGTGCCTTCATTTACTTAAGACAATAGGAAAAGGTATAAAATTATACCATACTCTGACTTTGCAGGTGCTCAATAAATTTTATTAAAATAAACATCATAAACTACAAAGATAAATGTTATCTGTGGTTGTACTCAGCTCCTTGATATTCCAGTAACTCCTGACTTTACATATGATCAGTAAAGGTTTCTTTTCCTTTCTCAAAGTGGTTGCAATAAACAATTCCTTCCTTTTCTCTTTAATTATCACATGGGATGATTGAAAATTCAGTTCAACTTAATGAAACTAGGAAAGGGCAGAGAAGGAGTGGGGATTTTGGGGTCAGAGATCAGAAATGCTTCTTTATAGATGGCCAAAGGTGACTATGTTAGACTTTGGGGCCTTCCGGTCTTTATCAAAACCCTTCTCATCTTTAAGCAGAAACAAACACAAGAGTGATCAGGGCTGTGCTCTGAATGGTCACACAAAACAGCAGGCCTTGAACCGAGGCTGCCCTGTGACTTTGCTGGCTAACTATCATTCAGACTGGTGGCCTTCTCAGGGCAACAAGACACCTGCAGAGTATCATAAGTGGCCTAGGAACAGCCCACTGAGTCTTGACTGGCTCCTTTTAAAGTGCCACAGAACTCCTAATCCACAGTCAGCACTGAGGGCCACAATTCAGGGAATGGCCTGTCACTCCCTGTCAATGTCAAGCTTGTCTTCTTCCCGTAACCAGACATATCTCAGATCTTCACATGGCTCCTGGAGTCTGAGCATACTCACCAGAGCAGGCCATTGGAAGGAGAGATGGTACCTGGGGCCCTAATTTCATCCCACCTTCATCAGCCAAGCCTCCATTCTCCCTCCCTCAAGCACCCATGACAGTCCCCACCTGCAGAACTTACCAGGCCACATCCTGTCCTCCGTAAGTGAAATAGAACTATCGATGAGAATGGAATTCATTCATCTCTCTCCAAGTTTTCTAAAAAGTACACTTTATTAAATGTGAGGTACTAACTGGCAACTGAAACATGGGCCAGAGGAAAGTCATTGTCTCACAAGTGTTTGGGCTCCCCCAGATTTCGCTTGTGACTATCGTGTTCGGATCTAGGGACGGCGGGATGTGCTTGCTGTTATCTTTCACCTAAGAACTGAATTTCCAGGCACACGTGTCTTGGCTGGGAGACCAGTGTTAGAGTGGACAGTCTTCAGTCTCTGCATATCTTTTTCTTAACCTTCCTCAAAGGACAAGGCCTGCCGCCTCCCTTCTCCAGCTCATAGTCTCCAAGGGTTGGAAGAAAGGACGGTACTTCTATCACACCGCCATCTCTGAAACAGCCGTGTGGTGCCACTCAAAGCCTGGAAGAATCTCATCTTCACAACTCTTCTTTCTCCTCCTCTGCACAGATGCAAGCTGCCCGCTGACTGTTCATAAAAGGCCGGCAACCCAGGGTCCACACGGTGTTGAACACAGTGTCAGCCAGAGAATCACAGGCTGCTTGAAAAAGATGAATACAGACAGAAAGGTCAGCAGAAACCACCCCTCAGCAGGGGAGGCAGCATATTTCCAAGGTGATCCCCAGAGGATGGCAGAGACAGCGTGCAGAATTGAGAGGACCAACATATCTTTAAGAGATACGCTTTCAGAAAAGCTTCTCTTTGGTCCAGTAAGACAGATACACTTGCTGGTGCCTCACATCTGTGATGCCCCTGGGGAAAGTCATTAGAAATCCCACATGATTTTAGAATACCCACTCAGAAAAAATACATCTTCCCCAACTCAAGGATGTCATAGTTTGGACAAGAGGTGGAGCAAGCAGACAGGACAGCAGCTAATCATTTATACTACACCATGAAGACAATGACCATAAGGTGACTGGGAACTCTCGGAAAGGTTCCTGTCCCTTGGGAGAAGGGGCTCTGAGGGAAGGCATCTAGAAAGGGTATCATGGACATGCCAGAAAATTTAGACAACTTAGAGGAAATGGAAATTCCACACTGAACTGACTCAATGAAACAGAAAATGAAAACAGATTATTAGTCCCCCCAAAAATACATCTCTCAAGGAAATCCACTGCCATATTGTTTCAAGGGAATTTTTGGTAGATATTAAAAAAAAACTAATAGCAATCCCTTCTAAATTAGGGTTATGTCTTTCATTTTATGAGGTCAGTATTATGTTGATAACAAAAATCAGACAGAAAAACCACAGGAATAACAAACCACAGGTAAGCATCTCTCATGACTAAATGCAACATCTTCAACAGATACCAGTCAGCTAGACTCAGAAACATGTAAAAGGACTGACACCATGCCCATGTAGGCCTTGTCCTAGGAACACAGTAAAATCAGTATAGCATAACACCTACCAATAGACTAAAAGCCACACGCCACATTCTACAGAAAGACTTCAATACCTTGATAGAAACAACTCAACAACCCAGGAGGAGGACTTGCACACCTGACAGGGTCATTTAGGCCTGTCTCATGCTCAGGGATTTCTTTGGGAGATGATGCCTATGGGGTTGAGTGTGTGACTCTGTAGACATATTCAGCTGGTATTTAAATGAGTTAAATCATATGTAAATCACATCACTGTCTTAGTATGACCACCAAATACTCAGAGTGTTTCATGCAAAAGGAACTCAAGGGTGGAAAATCTGGGCCTTTGACCCAGGTAGATTTCAGCTCAGGGGGCCCAAAGGGAGATCTGTATGTCTGCGATGATGCTGAGGAGGCAGCCTAGAGCTAACCCAGAGGTAGGTGATATTAAAATGTAGTTGGCCTCAGTGGGTGACCCTCACTTGGATGGAACATAAAAAAAAAAAAAAAACACAGAATTTACAGCAATCTGGCCAGTGGGAAAGCAGTAAGATACTTAGAAAGGAAAAATCAATAGGACATTGGCCTAGAGCCGTCACCTGACCTGAGCCTACAGCAGTGATGGTTCTTTCCTACCCTTTGTGGACACAGGATAGAGTTCTCCCTTTTACAAGGCCCAGTTTTACTAAAATTCCTGAGCCCTCGCACACTCACATTAAAACTCATTTCTATGAACCACACCCAAGATGGTTTCCACAGTTGGTATCTCTGTGGCTCAGAGGAGCCTAGTTTCCAACCTTTCCCATCTTGGATGCTTTGAACTTTAACTCCAGGTTACCATTCCCTGGCTTCAGAAGTGGAGAGATTAAAACCTTTTGGACGGTAAATTAAGACAAAGAAATTACAGAGTCAGAGCTGGAAGCTCAGTAGTTAGGCAGTGTTTAAGAATAATTATCCAGAAGCACACAGAAAGCTGGACACACACAAAAGGGGACTTTTGAAGTTCCAGACTAAGTGCAAACCATGAAAAAGGGGCTCTAGCCAAGCCACGTGGTCCTATACAGAGGGACCACTGAGTGGAAAGTTATTTAACAGAGGCATGGAAAGCGTTATCTGCGGTCTTAAAAGAAGGGTTTTCATTCTGTGGAAGTGTGGCCATGACCTTTTCCAGCAGGAAGGGTGCCAGCAGCCCTTGGACAGCAAGAACTTTTGTGAAAGAGCACCGAGCCTCTCCCTCTGCCTTTCCTGCACACTCTGACCATCTCTCCCAGTAAAGGGGGGCCCTGGGTAGCAGCAAAACTCCCTGTCACCAGGAAGTGTCCTTAAGAGACCTACCTTCCACGTTGGAGACAAAGCCAAGGCTCCGCTTGAGGTCGGAGCAGATGGAGTGAAGACACCATCGGAATTTTGCATCGCAGCGGTATTTGTTGGCACCACAGGTGTCATAGCAGACGTCCAGCTGGTTACAACACTTGGTCATTGCTGGAATGCCTAAGTCCATCTGTAAAAGTGAAGCAGGAAGGTGCCACGTTTAGACCGAGGACCTGAGGCAACCCTGTCCAACCTCATTACAAACTAGCCGCTTCTCCAGTGTGTGCCACGTATTAGATCTGTTCAGAAGCACCAAGGACGCAGAGGAATAAGCTCCTTGCCGTAGGATGCTCAATTTGAATGTTACTTGCTTCGTATGAGATCCTAGTCTATTTATTTCATCTTTCCTTTTGTGAGAGTAGTCATTTTCAGATCCACAGTCAGATGTGGTGATGAAAACAGAAACCAGAGGGGCAATGGAGATGACAGAGCAGCAGGAGATTCACATTCGGTTAAAACTTTACATTGGTCTGAGGGTCTGCTGAAGAAAAAGGTACTGAGGCTACTGTAAAAAAAAAAATTCAGCCTCAAGTAACTGGAATGTGACTTTGTCAAGGACTCATCCTCTTCAGCACTCCTTTAAGGTGTATCTTGAGTTGGAGAGAAAAATGGGGTGCAGGACATTAAGTGCCCAAAACACAAGAGGAAATGACGTCAGAGTACAACATTGCACACACTAAGCGTCCTATAAACAGCTGTGTCGATTGTGACATAAATAAGAGCATCACGCAGAGCTGGGACACGGGGACTGTGGGGACAGTGGAAGGAAGACCAAGGGCATTATGAGAAATGAGGGTACATTGGCGTGGGATGTGCCTCAGCTGCGACAGTGTTTGCCTAGGGTGCATGAAACCATAAGTTCTATCCCCACGACTGCGTAAGTCAGGCCTGGCAACCTGTATCCCAGCATTCCTGAGGCAGAGGCAGGAGGATCAGAAATTTAAGGTCATTGTTGGTCACATTTCAAGCTTGAGGCAGCTTGGACTACATGAGACCCTGTCTTAAGGAGGAGGAGGAGGAGGAGATGAAATAAAATGAGAGTAGACGCAGAGCAGGAAAAGAGAATGGGCAGGTTAACAAGTCAGTTTAGTTGGGTTTTAGCAGGAAATGTACGTGTGTGCATGCAAGCATTTGTGTGCATGGGAGAAGCTTTGTGGGTCTTAGAGTCTGGATCACTGGTAGTACCTGAAGCACCAAGTCTCAGCACCACATTATAAAACTTATTTGCCTTCCAAGTTAGAGTTCGTACATAATCCTGAGCTAGGAAGAAATTACTTTAAAAAACAAAAATATGGGTATGTGCATACTCAGTGGTGTGTGAGTTCGTTCAGTAGTGCAAGAGAGCACTCAGTGATGCATGAGTGCATTCAGTGGGGCATGAGAGCACTCAGTGGTGCAAGAGAGCATTCAGTGGGGCAGGAGAGCATTCAGTGATGTATGAGAGCATTCAGTGGTGCATGAGAGCACTCAGTGATTCATGAGAGCATTCAGTGGTGCAGGAGAGCATTCAGTGGTGCAAGAGATCATTCAGTGGGGCAGGAGAGCATTCAGTGGGGCAGGAGAGCATTCAGTGATGTATGAGAGCATTCAGTGGTGCAAGAGAGCATTCAGTGGTGCATGAGAGCACTCAGTGATTCATGAGAGCATCCAGTGGTGCAGGAGAGCATTCAGTGGTGCAAGAGAGCATTCAGTGGGGCATGAGAGCATTCAGTGGGGCAGGAGAGCATTCAGTGATGTATGAGAGCATTCAGTGGTGCAAGAGAGCATTCAGTGGGGCAGGAGAGCATTCAGTGGTGCAAGAGAGCATTCAGTGGGGCATGAGAGCACTCAGTGGTTCAGGAGAGCATTCAGTGGTGCATGAGAGCATCCAGTGGTGCATGAGAGCATCCAGTGGTGCATGAGAGCATCCAGTGGTGCAGGAGAGCATCCAGTGGTGCAGGAGAGCATCCAGTGGTGCAGGAGAGCATCCAGTGGGGCAGGAGAGCATTCAGTGGTGCATGAGCTCACAGAGTATGTGAGGTTGGTGCCAGGGAGGACATCTTAGACACCTTTGCAGGTTCCTGATCATCTGGGTTTGGTTTCTTGTCTGTTAGTTTTTCCACACAGGTTCTTATGTATCTCAGGCTGTCCTCAAACTCATCAGAGCCTTGAATGAATCCTCCTGCCCCCACACCTGGCTTTGGAAGTTGGGATGTGGATGGGAGATGATGCAGATCTGCTTTCAGGGTGTGGGTGAGGTGTGTCATCAGTGATGGCAGAGCCTGTCCACACTGGTGCCTTTCAGTCCTCTTAGGAATCCAAGGCCACCTGACACAGAACAAGGACTTCCCCTGTTTAAAATGCCCTTAAGCAAAGCAAAACAACAACAAAATCACACTAAAGACAGCCCAGCTCATTGGATGGGACACAAACTGGTACTGTAAGTCTTGATAGGCTGTCTGGTGCCTGAGACAAAGGATTTTATCTGGCCACTCTACACAGGGCAACTGCTCATTACTGAAGTGTAATGACTACCACTCCATTTGCTCAAATGGGAGATTCTTGAACTGCTTCTAAATAGTGTGAATCCATTTGTTTGTTTTATGAGATGGTTTCACTGTGTAGCTCTGACTGGCCTCAAACTCACCTACTTCTGAGTGCTGGGAGTAAAGGTGGGCACCACCACTGTACTGCATTAACTGATTGATTGATTGATTGATTGATTGATTGATTGATTGATTGACTTTGGCAGCAGTGGGGACTCAACTCAGGTTTTGCACATGCTGGACAAGTGTTCTACCACTGAGCTACACACTCAGTCCCCGTGCATCCCCTTTAGAATGACTAAACTCACAGCTAAAAATGTGTCATGTCTCTAACACTGAGTTGAGAGGATATTCTTGCTTGTGTTCCTACACTTATTGCTGATTGTGAACAAGCGGGCCCAGGCTCTGTGCAAGGGACAAGAACACTATATGCAGAGATACCTTCCTCCAGGACATGTAGTTTCATATACTTAAGAACACATGTTTAGCCAATAGCAGTCAAGCTTCTAACAAAATCAGTGTGTGAGTAAGCATTTCTGATGGAAACATGAAAACTGCCCAGAGGGTGGAGGACATATCTGCAGTTGGCATGGAAATACCAATTGGTGAGCAGCAGGTCGGTTAGAAGAAGGCTCATGGAGCCGGGCGGTGGTGGCACACGCCTTTAATCCCAGCACTCGGGAGGCAGAGGCAGGCGGATCTCTGTGAGTTTGAAACCGAGCCTGGTCTACCGAGCGAGTTCCAGGACAGGCTCCAAAACAATACAGAGAAACCCTGTCTCGAAAAACCAAAAAATAAATAAATAAATAAATAAAAAAGAAGAAGGCTCATGGAACTACTTAGATGACACCTGCCCAGTGAAATTCTTGAATCAGCTAAAAATTGAGGCTTAGCCGTTTGCGATTCAATAGGGGGCTGGAGATGTAGCTCAGAGGTTAGGAGCATTGACTGTGCTTCCAGAGGACTCAGCAGCCACATGGTACCTCCAGTCCCAGAGACTCTCACGCCCTCTTCTGGCCTCCATAGACACTACAGGCATATAGTGCACAGACATACATGCAGGCAAAAAACATACACGCACATGAAATAAAATTTAAATACATATGATATATATATCATATGTATATATTAAAAGTCTTCATAAAAGGAGACTATTCAGGGCCTGAGATGGCTGTCAGTAAGGTGCTTGCCAAGGCAACATGAAGACCTGGGAGTTCAATTTTCAGTGCTCATATAAAGTTGGATGCCTCTAACCCATCCATGGAAGGTGGAAACAAGGGGATTGTGGGCCAAGAAGTCCAGCTACATTGGTATATCTAGACTGAGTAAGAGACTCTGCTCAAAAAATAAAGAGGATCTGGGGTGATGGCTCAGTCAGTAAGTGCCTGCTGCATAAGCCAGTGTCCCAAGTTCTGATCCCCAGACACACTGGGGGGGGGAGACAGAGAGACAGAGAGAGAGAGAACAAATCAATATCATAGTTGATGTACCTGTAACTACAGTTTATAGCCCAGGGCCTTCAAACAGCATCTCCCCTAACAGCAGTACTATGGTTCTTAGGAACCCTGACAAACTTAGCTCTTCCCCCCTCAATCAACCTAGTTGGAGAGCTTCTAATCACAATTACACTATTGTTATGATCTAACCCATTGATTATCCTTGTAGGAATTAATATCCTAATTACAGCTCTATACTCTCTTTACATTCATTGTAACCCAACGAGAAAAAAATCACACCCCATATAAATAACCTTCAACCCTGTCATACACAAGAACTAACACTTATGATAAGACCCCTCTTTTAAAGTGATAGTCAAAAGCATCTATGAAATCTGTGTGTGTGTGAGAGAGAGAGAGACAGAGACAGAGACACAGAGAGAATGTGTGTGTGTGTGTGTATGAAATCTGTGTGTGTGTGTGAGAGAGAGAGAGAAAGAGACAGAGACACAGAGAGAATGTGTGTGTGTGTGAGAGAGAGAGAGACAGAGACAGAGACACAGAGAGAATGTGTGTGTGTGTGAGAGAGAGAGACAGAGACAGAGACACAGAGAGAATGTGTGTGTGTGTGTGAGAGAGAGAGAGAGAGACACAGAGAGAATGTGTGTGTGTGTGTGAGAGAGAGAGAGACAGAGACACAGAGAGAATGTGTGTGTGTATGTGTGTGTGTGTGAGAGAGAGACAGAGACAGAGACACAGAGAGAATGTGTGTGTGTATGTGTGTGTATGTGTGTGTATGTGTGTGTGTATGTGTGTGTATGTGTGTGTGTATGTGTGTGTGTGTGTTCATGGATGTTCAGGTGCTCTTATGTGTGTGGGTGTGCATGCACTCATGTGAGTTTTTGAGTGGAGGTCAGAGGACAACCTTAGCTATTATTTCTCAGGTGTCAATTAACTTGTTTTTTCTTTGTTCGTTTTAAGTCAGAGTCCATCTTTGGCCAGGAACTTTCCAAATAGATTAGTTTGCTGACTCGAGAGCCCTAGGTACCTGGCTGTCTTCACCCATCAGTGCTGGCCTTACAAGCAAATGCCACCACGACCAGATTTTTAATATGGGACCTGGGGATCAAACTCAGGTTCTCTTGGTTGCAAGGCAAGTGCTTTTCTGACTGAGCTATCATCCAACCCAACTCCCAGGGTCTCATGTAGCCCAGGCTAGCCTCAAATTCACTGTGTAGTCAAAGGTGACCTTGAACTTCTGATGCTCCTGTTTCAATCTCTGGAATGCTGGAGTTACAAGCATGTGCCATTACACCTAGTCTATGTGGCACTACCTAGGGCTTCATGCATGCAGGGCAAGGACACTACAAAACCCAGACTCTTCCAAGAAACCCTCAAGGAGATCAAGTCATCTCTTGCTTCTAGAAGAAGCTGAGGGTTTGAGAAAGGGTCGGTGAGGAGCTAACAAATCGCAGTAAACAGCGGGTGTGTCAAACTCCAAACTTTGTTGATTTGACACTTTCAACGGGAAGTCACTGCTTTGCCCAGAAGTCAACCAATATAATAATCAGTTCTTTCTGGACAGTGACAGCCACTCCAGTCCATCGCTGGAATGAAGTACTGTTTTAAATAAGGCAACGTCATCCAGTCATCTTTAAATTGTATCTTGATGTCATAAATCATAGGCAATGCTTATCGGAGTGACTTTGAAGCTCATAGATACCAGAAGCTTAGCTGAAGGAAGCAGTCTTTGAGAAAAAAAAATGCTCAAATGTCTACCTTGAAAATTCTCTCCCTCCCCTCAGTCTAGTTTAACATAAGAAATCAGACTGAGTAGATTCCATAAGTGATCACTTCCTTCAGTGACCAGAGCTCTTGGATTGCTCTTACTCAAAACCGCATCGATCAAGAAGGTAACATTAGTGGTACATACACTTCCTGGTACCTTGATACCCAGGAAATAGGAACCGCAACCATTTGGCTCCTGAGGTTTGTAGCCAGGTCTGGGCATCGGCGCCTTTCCTAGCAGGAAGAAAGGAAAAAAATAATATATATATATATATGTATTTAGAAGATGACATTCATTCATCAAATAAAAATGTTCCATTTTTCCTTTAAACGTCGCTGTCCCCATAAGATACTCACATTAAATCGGTAGTGAGGAGGAGGTCACCAAAAACATCCACTTTACCACTTTACCTACTGAATTACCATCTCCTCCAGACAGTGTGGGGCCACATCCCCAGTACAGGGCAGTGCACTGCCGGTCACACACGGACAGACTCAGAATCGTAGCTGTGCCATCGGAGACTGACTGCACTGAAGGATGCTTAGGGAGTATCCGCAGGTGCAGATAGCATCCCTGACCGCAGAACAAAGCAAACACCTGGTGTTCAGGACTCTAACTCCAGGGGATCCAACATCCTCTACTGGCCTCCACAGGCACTACATACAAATGCACATAGCTCACAAACATGCATACATATAATTTTAAAATAAAATTTTAAAATGTAAAACATTTGTTTTTAATTATGTGTATGTATGTGGCTCTATGAAGTAGTACATGTATGCTCTCACTAATGTCTGTGGAGACCATAGTTTGGGACACCCTGGGAGCTGGAGATACAGGCCTGGATGGGATGCAGCTTAACTGCTGAGTAATCTCCCTGCCCCCTCAGTCCTCGTGTCCTGGGTGTATAACTACAGATCAGCCATCGTTCTTGGTGGTGGTTGTTCTCGAATGGTAGCAGGACCTTGAAACTGTAAGAGTGTGTTCTGCCATGGGTCTATGCTCCCCCCATCCGCAAACACTTCTATTGTGACTGTGAGCCTCAAGCTGGTTAAGTTCTTTCAGTTACTGTTCAGTTCGGGCTCCTCAGGCCCCACAGTTAAATACTGGATTTATTTCCTGTGTATGAAGTGTGGGTGCGTTGGAAGTGTTTCAGGTAGACATTCTGCACCTCCATTGCCAGGTACATGGAAGCATCTTGCTTCTATCTTGTTCTATTGGGTTGAGGGTTTGTAATGTCTTTGCGAGTGTGGGTGAGGTCATAGGTGTATGTGTGTGGTGTGTGCATATGTATGTATGGAATGTGTGTGCTGTGAGTGTGGCGTGTGGTGTGTATGGTGTGTGGGGCTGTGGGTGGAGTGTGTGGTGTGCTTGTATATGTAGTGTGGTGTGGTGTGTGTATGTGTGGTCCATATGTGTGTTGTGTGTGTAATGATGTGTAGTGTGTATGTATAGTGTGTATGTGTGGTGGCGGTGTGTGTGTTATGCATGTGAGGGAAGTGCTCTTACACAGGTGCTGGGATTCGAATACAGGTCTTCATAATCAGGGGTTCTTGCGTATGCCGCCAGCACTTAAAGGACTGCCCCGCCTCCCCAACTCTGAAACCCTAAATACACTAGACCAACCTCAGGCTCTCAGAAATATTTATGCAGCAGACACAGCTTTTGTGGGAATTAAAGAAACGTGAGTCCTTCTGCAGCTGTTCAGGCCAGCAACCCAGTTCTAGGGGGTTACTGCTCCTCTTTCTGAACACTAGACCTGACCTCAGCCCCAAGTTCCCATTTGCTCTCAAGCCCAAGCCCAGGACCCGTCACTATCTTCCCACGGTCTCATAACTTTTGAAATTTCCCTTATCCTGCTCTCTGTGTGTGTGTGTGTGTGTGTGAAAGAGAGAGAGAGAGAGAGAGAAAGACAGAGACAGACAGACAAAGAGACAGAGACAGACAGAGACAGAGAGAGAGAGCTGAGTGAGGGAGTATGGTGTATGTGTGTGTTTAAATGAGAGCATGTGTGCATGTGTGTGTGGGTGAGTGTGAGTGTGTGTCCGTGTGTGAGAGGGTGGCATGTATGGCGGTGGGTATATCACAATGGGGAATAGAGTCTGATGTCAGCAATTGAGTCACACATGGGCAAACAGTCAAACCCTGTGGTGTAGTTCAATGTGATTGGCTCTTAGAAGTAAGATTATGGGGATTTTATCTTTTCTTCAGATTGTTCTTTTTACAAGTTTTAACTGGAGTGACAGTTGAATCTAGGCAAAGGTAGCACACCCTAGCCTCGAGCTGTCCTTTCTGGTTTGATGTTCGGAATTTAGGCATCAGCAACATGCTATGTTGACATGTGGACTTATTTCCTGGTGTGGTTGGCAAGTTGAAACTCTAGTTCCTTGGCAAATGGTGGCCCCACTCACTGCCAGACTTTTGTAACCTGCCAACTATAAATGGGCTTCATCTATTTTAATGATCGGAGGTGTGAATCAAAACAAGAATAATATTTTATGACATGTGAAAATGATATGAAATCCACATTTTAGTGCCCATAAAGAAGTTTTATTGGGGCACAGCCACACTTATTTGTTATGCATTAGCTGTGGCTGTTTGCACGGGAGAAGAAATCACAGAGTATTGCTACAATCTTGAACTGAGGATGCTTTTCTAATCAAGATATAAAAGTCAGAGGCCATAAAGAGATTGACAAATTGGATCTCATAAAACATCAAGCCTTCTAAACAAAGTTAACATCATAAAACACTTGCGAGACATCAGGAGGGAAATTCAGGAAGAGTTAGCCACGACACTCAACAATGACACCCAACAATGCTGCCTCCAGCCACGTGTCCTGTGCTCTTGGCCATCACTGGGTGGAATAAATCAGAATAACTCTATGATCTCAAATGTAGAACCTAAGAAAGGAAAGTCAGTTTCTTAGAAACAGCGAGCAGAAAGGCTGAGAGGAGAGAGTGCGGGGATGGGGAGGACGGAGAAGAAAGGAGATCTTGGTCAAATGGCCCATTTTGATAGAAGGAGGAATGCGTTGTGTTAGTTTGGTTTTTTAAGACAGGGTTTCTCTGTGTAGCTATGGAGCCTGTCCTGGAACTAGCTCTTGTAGACCGTGTTGGTCTCAAACTCACATAGATCCACCTGCCTCTGCCTCCCAAGTGCTGGGATCAAAGACATGTACCATCACCGCCCGGCATAAGTTTAGTAATCTACTGTACTAATGATCAGGGCTAATGACAATGTGTTGTATGTTACTATTAGGATTTGAACCTACAATGTTCCATGGGGACTGGGGAAATGCCTCAGTGGGTAAGAATATATACCTGATGCTTGTTGTGCAGCTTTAGGGCCTGAGGTCAAATCTATAGCATCTATGCAAAAAGCTGGGCCTGGTTGCTCACACACCTGTAACCCCAAGGCTGTAAGATTAGAGACAGGATGGCTGCACAGATGTCCTTTTCTGGCCTCCATGCATATATATGGGTGTACACACACACACACACACACACTGCTCCCCATGGGTTCATGTTTTAAGTGTCAGTTTTCTGGCTGATGAAACTGTTTGGGGAGCTGAGAGAGGGCCTGTGTGTCAGGAGTAGCTGTCCAGGACCAGGCCTTTGATACATCCAGCCTAGCTATCTGTTTCTCAGTATTACCTGGTGAACCAGCCTCCACCAAGCTCCCTCAGGCCACAGTTCCTTCCTCAGCCTTACCTGCCCCCCCATAATAAGCAGGGATCTCTGAAACCGGGAGCCAACATAAGCCCGTCCTCCCTTAATTATTTCCAGCTGCAAGCAGACAAACACGACCTCCCCACTGCTGCCAGAACAGACTTCTAATCTTCTCATGACAAATAAAAGGAGAGTTGGTGAGAGTCAGTGGCTATGGTAATCAGCTGTTGAACCTTTCCACAATGGATCAGAGCATCAGGTTTTATTATTTTTGTTGACTTAGATTTTTTTTGAAAAGATTGATGTTTAAGCATCCTTTGTAGGGAAGGTGAGCTGAGAGACTACCTCAAGAGTCTCACTGTGTAGCCAGGCTGGCCTGGAACTCCAGTCTGTCCTGCCTCAACCTCCCCAGGAGCCTCGATTGGATGTGGAGTCGGCTGGCCCTTCCCAATCAGAGGCTATCCGAGCAAAATTTGCTGAAGTCTTTTGATGCCATTTTGGTAGACAAGGAAGAACAGGATTGGGTTTACAATTTTACAAGAAGTCCTACTGTTAGATGTTTGCTAAGCCTTGGGTATTATTGACAACATCTGTGTTGATTCAAATGGCAGGCATTAACCCTTTGCTGCCTCCTCAGGGGAAACTAGACTGGCTTACTGCAGCGACCTGGCCTCTGCATCTGTCCCCCTAACTTTGGTAAATGGGGCTGAGGGGTCTAGGATTTGACCCCGTGACATTCTCACGGTAGCTGCAGTGATCTTTTGCTTGTGCCCCGGGGATGCTAAAGCTACTGGAAACAATGGTTTGACCATTATCTCTCTTAGTACATAAGGAAGCCATTTTCCTCTCCCCAAAGCTGAGGACCAGTGGTGCAGGCTGTGTATGTCCCCGCTGTTCTCAGCGTCTCTGAAAAGCTAGGTTTTGGCTGCTGAGGAAGTATTCCCCAAGTGTGTTCTCCACCTCCCCTGCTAGGCTAAGTAGACTTAGCATATTCACCTGAGCCTACCGCGGGGTATTTGCATACACTAAACCTAAACCATCCGAGACGCGTGCTTTTAAAGAACATTTTTTAGGCCCAGGTGCTGCTCAGTGTTGGATCACACACTTGGCAAACAAGGCTTGAGTTAAAATTCCCAGCACCACATTAAGCAGAAGGCTTTTCAGAGCTGCCAGGCCCCAGGCCCAGGCAGGGACTCTGCTCCAGTGTCTTCCACGAGAATGGAAAACTGGGCTCCAGCCTAGCTCCTGAGCAAGCTGACTTTGCAACTCGGCAAGGTAGGCATGGGTACCCACCCCAGGTACCAACTCTGCCTCTGGTGGCTGGGGACCCTGGTGGGCTGCAGCGATGCCCTGAGGCTACTGCCTGAGGCAGGCCTGGGCCGCTCCCTTGGGAGTGTCTAGCAAATCACTGCCAGTCAGAGGCCTTGGCAGGGAGAGTTCATTTTGAGCTTCTGGGATTCGGAGTTGTTTGATCCCAGACAGAATCTCCAAACATCCGCTTCCGTTTCCTTCCCTAACTACATCTCAGAGCCCGTGAGCTTCCTCGATGCTCACTGCCCCAGCCTCCCAGCAAACTCATGAAGGCCTCCATGACGACTCCCAGGAAGCTGAGTGGAGCCTGAATTTCAGATAAATCATAATTGATCAGGGGGATACGAGTCCCAAACGTCACCCCAGGCTCCTCATAGGAATTTGTTGTCTGCTTGGATTCCTGATGTCGCTACACCTGATAGCTCAGCCTGGCATCCTGGCCTACCTGGTGTAGGACAGATGGGACCTGCTGAGCTGCCCGTGACCCCCCACCCCCAGAGTAGGCACCCGGGTACTCACCATATCGGCACCGGTACTGACAGACCCCGTTCTTGCCTCCCAGAAGCTCCATGAAGGAATCAACATAGCTGTTGACGGACTCGAAGCTGCCCCGCAGGTGTCGCAGGCCCCAGTCCGAGTAAGATTCCTCTCCCTTGAGGCTGGGGTCACTCTGAGCCAGGCTGCCCACCAGGCCAAGCCACAGGAGGAAGAAGGCGCAGGGCAGCTCCATCCTGCACACAGGTAGGACGCTCGCTGCTCTCGTCCCCCACCCCAGCCAGGGTCCCAGGAAGCCTGGGGACACACACAGCCCCGTGCCCGGGCTTATCGCAACAGTCAGTCTGTGTTCCCCAGAGGTGGACTTTAAACACAACCATGGAGGCCGCGAGCAGATCGGAGCGATTAGAGAGGACAAAGGTGAGACCGTGGGAGGGGCCTGCGTGAGGATGGCCCAAGAGGAGACTTCCCAGTGGACCCCGGAGAGCTGGGGGCGATGATCGCAGTCTGGGAAGGGAGGAAGGGAGCCCCGGGAATCTGCTGTACACTTGGGCTCTCCAGGCTTCCTTGACTGCAGAGCTTGTCCCAAGATCCCAGCCATACCCCTGAGCCACTTCCTCCTCCACACCTGGCCTGAGGAGGCCAAGGCTCGGGAGCCCGATTTGAGGTCACCTTCAGCTACAGACAGGTTGCGGGAGCCTAAACCCTACGTGTGCTTCAGTGAGAGTTCAGGTTTTGAGTCCAGTTTCTGCTTGGGTCCCTCCTTTGGTCTAACTCAAATCCTTCCATCTGGTAAAGCTACTGATGTCCTTTCCCGGGTCAATCTGTTTCCGAATCTGCAGGATTCTCAGTGCTGTATCCTAAGATCCTGAGGCCTACAAGGTGGTCCCCAGGTCTATTCTGGGAATGCTGCCTCTGGTGGTGATGATCCCCCCCCCCTCCTTTTGAGGCAGATGAGAATCCAGGCTATTATCAGAAAGCCTGTTTGAGATTCCAAGCTTTGAGACTGCTCACTGTGTTTGGGCATCACCTTCAGGGTAGTTTGCTCTTGGTCACGTGAAGAAAAACCTATGAAAACCCTAGTGTCTAGAAAACGACACTGCTGTGTACCAAGTAATTGTTCGGCTGCTTTCTCAGATGTCAAGGAAGCCCTGCAGAAAATACTAAACACGGTAACATCCTCATTTTAGATAGGAAGTGTGTTCATCTAAAGACTTAACGTCCAGGAAGGGTAGTGCACGATTATTGTGTGAATTTAAAAAGAAAATGGTAGTAATACCACCCACCCAGTATTTAAAGCATGTGCACATTCCGAACCAGTTTCTCCTTTCCTGTCTCTCTCTGACTTTCTTCCTGTTTGTGTCTCTCTGACTCTGTCTCATCCCTGCCCCCCCCCCCAGTCACACCTGTTTTAGCCAAGGTTGTTATCTCTATTTGAGGCATAAGAAATCATGCAGAGGTGAAATGACTTCATCACATTGGGCGAGTGTCTGGCCAAGGCTGGGCAAGGGCCGGTGACATAACTGATGAGATCATATCAAAACAAAACCGTGGAATTTTTTTTTTCAAAATGTAAGGAAAACTCAGGGCAGAGCTCAGAGATGGGCCCCGTGCCTAGTATGTACAGTGCCCTGAGTTTAATCTCCAGCTACTACAAAAAGGAAAAAAGGTGTCATTAAAGATAAAATAGAAAGGTTTTGGAAAAGCTTTTATAATTTTATTTTTAGCTATGCATATTCATGAGGTGAGGGATGTGCCCGTATGTGAAAACAGGAGCCCTTGGAGGCCAGAGGATGTCCTGGAGCTTGTAGGCTGAGCCACCTGACACGGGTGTCAGGAACTGAACTCATAAAAGCAGAGTGGGATACTAACTGCTAAGTCCTGATTTCTTTTCCCTTAAAAAGGTCTTCTTATTTTTAAATGCAATAATAATAATACATGAGGAACATGTGTACAATACATAATATTTTAATATATGCTAGGCTAGTCATGAGAACTTTACTGACAATTCATTTATATCGCCGAAGCTTAGGCTTGCCACTGCTTCAGTTCCAATATAACTGAAATTCCAACTTCTCTGAAAAGACACAAGTAATACTGTGTAATTTTTAGTTTCAAGTAGGACTTTATTAAATGCAGTTGTTAATGGAACTGTTGATAGTATTTTTCCCTTGTATTTTTTTTAACCTAAATTAGGGGGGCATGTTTATTATTTTAAATATTTTTGAGGGTATAGTGTGTGATATTAAGGATACTAACATATTGTTACATGACCGACACCAGGACCATCTCCAAAACTTTTTTATTATCCTAAACTGAGATTCTGCACCTGCGTTTCTCTTCACCTCTGCCTCTGCCTTCCTAATGAAACTGGCTAGTCTCCGTGCTTCAGGGAAACAGAATCATGTAATGTGGCCTCTTGTGTTGGCTTCTTTTGCTTAGCAAGGTGGTTTCAAGCCCATGTATGCAGTGTCTGCCAATGCCTCCTTACAGCGCCTGAAGCCCCTGTGAGTACTCACATAGATTCTGAGTCCCTGCCTCCCAGTTCCTTTGGCAGGCTTATCTGGAGTTGAATTTTCTGGATATGTTAATTTTATGTAACCTTTTGAAGACCTGTTACCTAGGCCTTCATCTGTGTCTGTACTGATACAGTGAGGTTAGAAGGTTCTCATTCCTCCACAGCTTTCTAAAAGTTTATTTTTGTCAGTTATACATCATGCAGTACAATATGGCCACATGTATCCCCCTCTTTATACCAGCCTTCTGTCATTCCCCCAAGTCACCACCACCTTTCTTGTCTTTCTGGCTTTGCTTTCAGATCCGTGGTTTTAACCAGGTGCCCTCATGGGCATGGGTGTAAATTATGCACTGAAGCCAATGACCCTATCACTCAGACAGTGACTTCCTCTCTCCCAGTCCCCCTTCCTTGATTGCCAGCAGTTCCCCTGGGTGTGGCTGGGCCCCATCACACCCTCCCCATCTGTGACTGAATGTTTACAATGGAGTATCAGCTCTCGCTGCTGTGAGTTTGTAAGTGCTGTGGCCATGTCGTGCCCATAAAACAGTATTTCATGGCACTCCTTCCCATCACTTTTACATTCTTTCTGCACCCTCTTTCTGGAATGTTGTGAGCCTCAGAGGGGGTGATATGGGTGTTCCATCTAAGGATGACCACTCAATAGTTGCTTATCCTTAGCACCTTGAGAAACCTGAGTCTGGCATTAGCCAACATTTACTATAAAGAGAAGTCTCTTTGATCAAGGCCCTATCCGGGTTCAACCCCGGGTGCAGCATCTCTCTAGCCTTGGGTCTTCAACCGGGTGCATGGTAACCAAGCATCCCTCTTCCCAATGGGCTTAATCTTGTTCTTCTGTGTGTCGATGTCCAGTTTCCCCAGAATCATTTGTTGAAAATACTTTCTTTTCTCCAGTGTAGCTTTTGCATATTTGTCAAAAATCAGGTGACTGTGTTCATGTAAACTAATTAATATACGTATGCTCTATTCCATTGATCTGGGCATGGGTACCGATACCATGCTGTTTTTCTTATGTTAGATCTGTCTTGCTGTCGGTCTCTCTCATGTCTCTTGTCTCGTTCATTCCAGGTTCGCATGTGCTCAACCCCCGTTAGCTATAGGCTTTTCGTAACAGTCTTTATTATACTGAGATATGTTCCCTCCATTCCTAGCTTCTCCATGGCTTTTATTGTGAAATGATACTGGATTTTGTCAAAGGTCCTTTCTGTATTTATTGAATTATCATGTGCTTTTTGTCTTTGAGTCCATTTATGTAACAAGTTATGCTTACTAAATTTGTGTGTGTTTGAACATCCCTGCACTTATGGAATAAAGCCAACTTGATCATGATCCTTTTGATGTGGTCTTGAATTTGATGTGCCTGTATTTTACTTAGAATTTTTTCATCTGTGTTCATCAAGGAGATCAATCTATAATTTTCTTATTTTGTTGTGTCTTTATCTAGCTTTGGTATCAAGGTAACACTGGGTTAAAAAATAAACAGCAAAAGGAGGAAAGCTTTAAAATTCTTTGAAAGTATTAGAATTCTTCAGTAAAGCTAACTGGTTTTAAAACTGAGCTGGATTTAATTGGAACAAAAATATTACTGGCTTCAATTTCATCACTGCCCTAAACACCTCCATTCTTAACTCGGGTATTTTCTCTTGTGATTCTTTTGAAAATGTTTACTCTGCTTTTAGATTGAGATGATCCTTCCCTGCCTATTATTCATACATTTGGTCTTCACAGTGTCAGAATCCCTACTGATATTTCATCCTTGTCCTAGTTGGATTGTTACAGGTCTTCTGCCTTGCCTTCAACTCCGATAGGCTGTCCTCATCCCGATCCGGTCCATTGCTGACACATTCCTCTGAGTTTTGTTTAATGTATTCCCATGTTTTGTTTCCTCTCCAGCATTTCAGGTTAGTTTTTCTTCAACAGTTCTTTTTGTTGAATTCCTCTTTCTTTAAGGAATTTCTTTTAACATTTATTTGTTTGGGGGCGGGGCAGGCAATGCCCCTGTGTACTTGTGGAAGAAATCAGAGGTTGGAGTCTGTTCTCTCCTTCCACCATGTGGGCTCCAGGGACCCCACTCGGGTAGCAGGCTTGGTACAGAGCGAAATTTACCGATGAGCCATCTCCCTGACCCCTGAACTGTGTGCTTTCTTACCTTGTATCGCCTTATTTCTTCCGGCTGTTTCTGTTCAGTCTTTTGAACATACTTGAGATCATCAGTTTGAGTTCTTTGGGATTTCATTTAGCTCTCATTAGACTCTGTTGCTGTGGGAGTAGCCATGTTTGGAGGTGGTGTCCTGTTTCAGTGCTTCCGGCGTTACAGCACTGAAATTGACATAGCTGGGGTTATCTTGCTGGTTGCTAATCTGATGGAGTCTTTCAGTTTATGTATTTGCAAAGTTTGTGTGAGACTTGCATGTGGCAGAGCTGAGCGTGTAGTTCAGAAAACCCAAACCAGGGGCTCTGTGTCTGGTATAAAGTTTATATTTTCTGAGGAAAGCTATTAACCCTGGAGGGCCTCCACAGCTGAGTGGCATTACTACTATGCAAATACCACACCTGCCACTGAACAACACTGGCCTCTTTAACTTCAATAACTGTTGGAGGATAAACACCTAAGGATCATATTGTGTCTACTCAGATTTCAGTTAATAAGATTAGGAGTAGGAGTAGAGAATGCTGGGTAAGGACAATGGGAAGCACTAGATTGACTTTG